CTCTTTTGCATCACGAGGCAATGGAGGAACAGAACTACTGACATTGTCAACGTCAACACAACAGCAAATGACAACTACCGAACCAGCACGATGAAAGACGTTCCAGTATTAGTCAACATGCATAGTAGGAAGCGAACAACAGCGAGGAATACATACACTGCAAGTGGCACCACCGCCAACCCCACCAAACAACAGTAAACCTCTGAATGGCAAGATGAGGAAAATCGGATTGGAATCCCTGGCATGATAGTTTTCCGAAGACAACCAGGCATTGCAAGCCACGTCATGCTCTTTGAAGTGGACACGGATGAACACGAGATGGACAGAACGTGGCATAAGACACAAGACCAGTGCTGCTATGCAGGACATTCAGTTTGTTATCTACTGTCATTGACAGTGAGCAAGATCAGGACGCTGTGTTGTGATAGGATGATAGTGCAGATACACCCCTGGAACAGACTCTGTCAGCTAATACATTCACTCATTCAGTGCAGCGTGGAGCTGCAGAAAGCTCGTCAGAATGTGCTGAAACCGGCCAATCCGAATGCAAGATATGACCTGAAACGGTTGAAATTCGGTCTCGTCTAATGAGCGGCGCATTTCGAGGCGGATGATGACGGGCTGATGGTGCGTCCTGAGCTTATGCGAGCTGCTGCCCCTATAAAAGGAACATGAAAACATGAGATCATCTTTTCCATCGGTCGATATGAAAAAAATGTCCATCTACATGGCGACGATGAGCAAATTCACCAAAGTTGGAGATTGTCACAATAACCACTGCATGACTGGGAAGGATAGAGGCCGACGCAGCCGGAATAGTTCTTATTTCCATACTAGCAGAGCAAGACATGTTTCAGCGCTACCGCAAGCATGACGGGAAAACATTCCACAACGGCAGCGTGCATGTAAAGAATCGCACCTACTACTCAAGCGTGTTTGCCAAGCGGAGCTATCGTCTCTCCGCAACGTGCGAAAAAATATCGGTGATTAGGACGGTCAGAACATCATCACTCTGTTCTACGCAAGGCGATACATTGAATGAAGGCCTTCTTTTCTTTTCCTTCGTGCCTTTTACTTCCTTTTCCTCAAGGCTCATCTTGGCGAACTCTTCTTCGCAGGACACTAATAGCAGTCATCATCTATATGAATTGTGAATGTTCCTGGATAGAGTCCTGGTGGTGACAGTTGATTTTCTAAGTTTTTCTTCAAGCGTTTTCCATGCCTATCTCCCTCAAACTTGCAGATCAAGAAGCAACCTCGAAAAGCCACTTGTTTTTCCCGAGGAATGATCTTGAACTGACCCCGTTGCCTGCCCAGTAATCATGCTACTGTCCATAGCTTTCACAGGAATGCTGAAATTTCGCAATGCTTTCTATTTGCCTCACAAAATGATACAAAAGCTGCTGCCAAAGTCTGACCGGGCAATTTACTTGACGGTTTAATTCAGTTCAGATTAACGCAGTTTCCATCGACATACACGTGCAGAACGGCGTGCGCAGAGACGTTTTTTCCCACCTCTGATGAAGCCAGCAAAAATTGCTTTCCATTGCCGAAAATACGCGCGGGTGAATTCTATAAAATTCGGCCCGAAGACGATTTAACAAATCCGTGCATAACCTTCCATTTTCAGTCGGAAGCATCTACATCGTTTACCGGTACGTACGCAGACCGGAGATTCCACGACAAAAAAAAAAGAAAAGAGAAGAAAACATCCTTCGGCAAAGCATGGAAACTGACCACTATCAAAACTACAACATTGAATTTCATGTAGCTCTCTTCGCAGACTGGTAGCGGTGTTTGATTCCTTGCTACATGTCACCCAACAAAAGGCCAGTGTAAGACAAATCGTACACGTGCGCTGTGCCTCTCCATGGCCAGCAAAATTCACCACAGATGTGAGCGATACTGCAGCATTTGGGCCAGGGAAGTTCGCCTTCCAAAAAAGGAAACAGTCGGAAACGCAATATTTACCTTCCAGGGTGTTTCGCCATAAGTTCTTCCTTATTCTTGCACAGCTCCCAAACACTCTGAGGTGGACTTTTATCAATCATATTGCCAATTTTGACGTTAGGTGCCGAGCTACACAAATTTGTTGATCTAGAATGAACGGTGACGTGACACCTATTTCAGCATGAAGCTGCATGCTCTTGGGCTCAGAATAGTTAATCGGCAAGCAAAAGAGATAGCTGAATGAATCCAGCCACCATGAGCTCCGCTGATGAGACCTAGGAGCTGTGAAAACAGCTAGCTGGGCGGAGAGCGAGTGTTTGGGAGCTCTTCGACTATGATGCTTTGAGCCGATTTAAAAATGATTTGTTGGCGCATTAGGCTTCATTACGATTGGTTCGGCCAGTCAGTCCACTGATGACCTCCTCTAACAAGATCCAAACAGGTGCCCTGAGAGTGATGATAGTATCTGCATGGTATTCGCGAAAAGCTTGCGATATTTTTCGCAGCCAAAAAATTACACTGTGCTGGTCACTAAAACGTCTTTGCATTGAGTCAGTCACCCTGACAGATCTCCGCTGATGAGACCTAACAAAGTCCTAAAGACTAAAGTATGCATATTGAGCCCATGCTTATCATAGATTCACAGCGCAGCACTTCACTTGTAGCACAGAACCTGGTTTTCGCCATGCCTTGATGCAGGTGGGGAGTTGGACGGCAAAAATAAGAAGTCGACTTCACCACACCTCCTGTCCATTCACAGGCAGACATCGATTCACCACATCTCCTGTCCATTCACAGGCAGACATTGATTCACCACACCTCCTGTCCATTCACAGGCAGACATTGATTCACCACACCTCCTGTCCATTCACAAGTACACTGGTGAGCGGACATTGATTTTGTGATCCTAATCTTTTCTTCTTTCGGGGAGACTTGTCGGCAAGTTGTGGACAATGGATGTAGCAAAAAATTGCTTTTCCGGTTGCTTGTCTGGCTGCAGCCGCGGTTGCATAGCACATTATTTGAGAGACAAAGCTGTTAGATGTCAGCCGAAAAAATTGAAAGCAGGTTCTCGGCTGACGCGTCGCAGTAGGGAATCTTGCAAAGTTTGCACACACTCTGTTATTGCCTTTTACCTCTCCATCACTCCATCCGCTATTCATTGTAAATGCAGCTTTGGCTGTCTTTACCCGCAATGTGTCGTAACCACTTCATCCTCAGCGATGACAGCCAATATCGCACATTTATGTACCTCCATTGCCGGCAACTACACTCAGTTCAACGAATCACACTGAGAAACACCAAGGCGACTGTTGACAAAAAAAAGCCAAGCTTAAAGGGGCGTTGTCAAAGCGTGCTTTACCGTAATCGACTGACCACTGTGTCCCGTTACTATACTTTTCTTGCCCGATTCCAGCCACAACAAGATGACTCCAGTCTTCAGGCAACATCGGATCATAACAGTTTTACTATTTAAAAAATGTGTTTACTTCCTTTCACTGATTTCAAAATCGCCTCGTCGCTTATTTCCTTTCACTGACTTCAACTTTTAAGTGAGCGATGACTTCACAAGGCACTGCTCAATTGTGTACGCGGCAGACACTGCTTGCCGTACTACAACTCCAAAGCCACTTCAACCCTGCTACGCCAGCTATGCCTTCATTCTAATCTAGCTTAGATGTCAGACCATCCTCAACTGCTGCCAATGAAGACGGCGTAAACGCTTTCGCGACATTGCTGGAAGTCGCATGGAGCAAAGTGCTTCTCTCTCTCCTTTTCATTTTGATATTATCGAAGAGTCTTCATAGGTCTTAGAACCTTTCTGACCAGACAAGTGGAAGAAACTAGGGGATTCTCCATCTCCGCTCTATAGGATACACGTATGTGGTGCTCACCAAAAAGATCAAAATCTACGCCGTGAATTTCTCGTGCGTATGCAAACTCTTGCCAAAAAAAACACCTGGTCAGCTGTCACTGTGTCTCTCAGTTTTTCTTGCACTACAAGCACGAGGTGCTAAACATATTCGAGATCCGCTCCGAAAATAATACTTCCAGCAGACAACAAACAGAAAAACAGTGAACCAAAAGACTGTCAAAAAAGATGGCCAGATTCAAATTTATGATCAGCCGAGAGGAATCAGGAGTAAACCATGTCGATGTTGGGAGATTTCAAAGAAAACCTCCCAAAAAGATGCTTCTTGCAGCATACGGAGCCACCAGGACCAGACACATCGAGCATGCCTATTTTGAAGAATAAGGTAGTTGGCCGGTAACCAATCCCTGTGCGGGAACGAAGCACAGTTTCCAAACTGACAGAGAATGCAAGTCAAGCGCAGTGCAACCAACATATTCAACACTGAGAGCATCAGCAGCAGCATCATTATTATCCACGGCAACAGCACCAGGATCGAGGCAAACAAAGAGACAAGAGCAAGTAAGCGTTACTGACTATCACCACCCTGTTGACAAGGCCAGAACAGCAACTGACCGTCCATAGCTATCTGACAGCAAACAACATCACATATCAAGAGCTTGACAAGGATAATAAACAGACGCCTCACTGTGGCAGGTCTTACAGGACTCCGACGATAAGAGTGCACATGAAGCGCTGCCATCAAACAAAATTCGAAGGGAGACAAAGCGAAACCACTGACGAGTGAGAACTGCAAAAAGCCAAGCATGACTCCCAACACCATACTGTGATGCGCAAGGGCTTTCTGTACACGCTTCCTTCTTGCTTTGATCATGCCACCAGCACGCACCGACGAGATTTTTACAGTGCGTGAGTCCTGTTCTACCCACCCATAACTTAGTGAAAGTGAAAACATGGATATACACGTACACGCAAAGCCTGATGTTCTATGGCGGAGCGTCGCAAAAGCATTCTTAAAATATCTTCGGATCTGCACAGGGATTTAACATTATACGTGCGTGTTTCAGGGCTCCCCGAGAGCCACCCCATGCTCAATGAGCAGGAGACGGCCAGATACAGCCATGTAACTTATCACCTACTGCTTCAGAGTAAGATCCCCTTCACACAATAAAACCAGTTATAGAAACCCAATACAAATTTAATCAGGAATAGCCAATGCGGCTTTATAGTATTTACAGAGTGTACAGTATTCGAATACACCTAACCAAGTGGAGAAAAAACCATGATGGAAATCCGATGTGACACCGAATACCAGGTAAAAGTCGCGATACGCTTAGAAACAAAAAGAGAATACAAAAAGTGGACAGGGCACACAGGCTGCACACAACACACAAAAATAGAAAGCAAAGACCTAACCTGAAAATCTTGACCGTTGCCAAACCCGCAGGGCTGGTAGCCGCAGCACGAAGAGTAGATATGCTGTTGTGGATACCCTGGTAGCAGAACGATAAACATAGAGCCAAGATACATCCATGAGCGGCATCGTGTTGTACATTGCCAGACGCAACGATTGCGGGTAGGAGTGCTTGATATTCAGACCATTCCGGTTGCACCGCTGTGACGTAAACTTAGGCGTGGTAGCGATCCCGTCGCTCACGCTGTGGCGAGCCGCGATGTCTGTGATGGTCATCAGGTCGGTGTCGGGGTTCTCCACGGTGGTGTCCGCGGGAGCCATGACGATCCTCTGGCTGGTGCCGTCCTCCATGGCGATCCATTGGTGGAGCGTCATCAAACGGCGGACGTGGCTGTGCAGGTCTGTCAACTCGGTCAAAGAAGTCGTCAGGAATACCAGGACCTACATCTAGCTGTGGTGGACCACCGGGGTGGAAATGATCAGGCCGGTGATGGTCAAGATGAAACATTGGATCGGGATGTGGAGAACCATGTTCCATAGGTGCACCGCCTGGTGGCGGTGGTGGTGGGAGGTGACCCAGTTCAGGGCGGAATGCTGGATCGCCATGATCAAACAGTGTTCCACCTGGGGGGTGGTGGTGGGGGTGGTGGTGACGGTGGCCATGCTCATGAAGTGGCGAGCGTGGGCGATCTGCTGGCGGCCAATCTTGATTAAACGGCGGACGTTGCTGCTGATCATGCTCGAATCCTGGTGGCGCATCATGACCAAATGGCGGCGCGTTGCGATTGAATGGAGGTCGCTCCTCATCAAAGGGAAGACCTCTGTCAAAGTGCCCTTCACGCACCATAGGCGGTCTATCAGCCTGGAATGGGGCTTCTGCATGGCCGAATGGTGGTCCTCGATCCCGACCAGGTGATCCATGATCGAATGGTCTCCGATCGTGCTCTAGTGGTGGTCGATCGTGTTCAAACATTGGCTGTTCGTGCTCCACTGGAGGACGACCTTCATCAAACGGTGGGTGTTGGCGATCAAACATACGGCGATCTTGGCCAAACGGAGCTTCACCATCAGCCGGTGGAAACCGGTTGTCATCCCGCCGCCCACGCCTTGGCGAATCAGGGCCCATTGTAGGTGGGCGTTTAGGGCTGTTCATGTGAGGATGCACCGGTGGATGATCACGGAAGCCATCCTCACGCACACGGTCCGAGTGTGGAGAGCTACGGGCGGTAGTTGAATCAGGGCCTGCAGCAGAAGGACCAGTGGTGGCACTAGCAGCGCGATTACCAGGTGGAGCATCCTCAGTGTTGCCAGTCGGCAGGTCAGTCTTTGTCTGGTCCTTGGCAATATCACTGGAATCAGCCTCAGCGTCAAACAACTTCTCAACATCAGGCACAACAGTATCTTTGCTGGGATCCTGGGTTTCCTTGCCGGCATTAGAAGATTCCTTCAATATGCTATCTGCCACATCCGTGGTACTTGCCTTCTCCTCCTCGCACATCGGCTCCGCTCGAAACGGAATGGCACTTTCCCAATCATCTGCCTTATCTTCATTACCAGTGGTGCCAGGCTGCCCTTCACCTTTAGCGTTCTCAGATGCGGTTTGATTCGCCTTCCTGGGTGATTCCTGCACATGCCTCCCGTTGGCTTTGTCAGGTGGGGGGTGTTGCTGATGATGTTGAACATGGGGTGGTGGCCTGTCACTGTTCCTAGCTTCTCTTGGTGGGGCACCTCTGAGTCCAGAGCCCATGTCAAAGATGCGGCCACCAGGACCACTGCCAGCAGCATGGTTACTATTGCGATCATCGGTGGGTGCATGGCCAATGCCGAAGGGGCGAGGTGGGCGATGTGGTCCGTGCGGCAACATTGGCCTCTCGCCGTGAGCTGGTGCATGGGCACGCTGCTGTGGCTGCTGGTGACGTGGCGGCCCCTCGAATGGCGGGCGATTGTCAAAGCGGGGACCCCCATGCTCAAATCGTGGTCTTGACTGGCTGAACGGAAGACGTCCATGCATAGGTGGCCTTGGCTCGGCTTGGTGCTGTTCACCACCCTGTGGACGGTGCGGTCCAGCTGGAGGCCGTTGACCAAATGGTGGGCGCTCGACGGTACCCGGACGTGGTGGATGAGGGGCTCGGTTAGCAAACGGAGGCCTCTCTCCAGCTAATCCAGGGCGTGGGTGTGGGCCGCGCTGCTGCTGGGCATTGGGGTGCTGAGGACGAGGCGGGCGTCCACCTTCTTGTTGCTGCTGACCGCGAATAGGAGGCCTTGCACCCAGCAGTCCAGGACGTGGAGATTGTTGTTGGTGCTGCTGCTGCTGTTGGTGGTGCTGCTGCTGTTGATTGGAGTTGTTATTGAATGGGTTCATCCCCGGGCCAGTTGGCGGGCCTGAATTCTGGCCACCAATTAGTGGCTTCACATTTGCCTGGGGTGATGTGCCTGCTACATCTTCCCAGCGATTTTTCCGACCGACTTTTGCTGCCTTGTCACCATGCCCTTCCTCAGGTGCTTGCCAGCGATTGGGTGTCCCTGGTCCTGCGCGAGGAGGAAATTGTCCGGGCTGCTGCTGCTGCTGTTGAAGGTGCCCTTGCTGCTGGTGCTGTGGCCGCTGATTCTGGGCTCCGGGTGAGGATTGTGGCCTGGGCCCTCTTGCTGGTGGACCGGCATGCCTTGGTCCAGACCCCTGTGGCGACTGCCAGTGAGGTCCTTGAGACCAAGGCCGGGCACCTGGTGGACCTTCAGGTCGTGGTGGCAAGCCTCCTTGCTGAGGACCACCTGCAGTAGGTGCAGTTGGACGCTGTGGACGCTGCTGCTGCTGACCCGGGCCAACAGGACTCATACCAAGAGGACGAGGAAGCTGGCCTCCAGGTCCAGTTGGTGGCTGCTGATTGCCAACTGGAGGTGCTTGGCCAGTATTAGCAAGAGCTGGTCCTGGCCGAATACCAGGATGTTGGTCTGTTCCAGGTACAGGTTGCTGCTGACCAGCTTCGTGTGGGGGCCGCAGCATAGGACGCTGTTGACCAGGTTGTGGACCACGCGGCGGAGGAAATGGCTGTTGTTGATGAGGTGGCTGTTGCTGTTGCTGCGGCGGCAAAAGCGGTGGAATTCCAGTGGTTCCCCCTGCTGCTGGCCGCTGAAGTGGCGGTCGGTTAGGCTGCATTGGTGCACCACCTTGCTGCTGCTGTTGCTGCTGCTGCTGTGTGGTATTAGACCAGGGTGTTGTGTTGCTTGCACCAAAAGGACCCGCTGGCCCCGCCGGCATACCAGCTTGAGGTGGCTGAGGTCGCCAAGGCGTTGCTCCAGGACCAGTTGCAGGCTGACCAGGCATACTGCCCCATTGTGCAGGAGGCTGACCACCAGCATGCTGCGAAGGTGGTTGCTGCTGTTGCTGCTGTCCTGGTTGCCCAGGCTGCTGTTGCCCAGGTTGTCCGGGCTGCTGCTGCTGTGCTGGCTGTCCGGACTGCTGCTGTTGTTGTTGCTGCTGTTGCTGCATTGCAGGCTGCTGTGTCGGCTGGACTGCTCCAGGTGGCAACTGCTGTCCAGCAGCGGGATAGCCGGGCTGTTGTGCTGGCACCACAGGCATCTGTGCATGTGCTTGCTGGCCTTGGGGCATAGGAACGACTCCTTGTTGGCTGGCAGCAACACCAGCAGGTGGCCATTGGCCAGCAACCTGAACACCAGGCATTGCTGGAGGAGCAGCACCTGTAGCGCCGGCTTGATACTGTTGCCACGCTTGAGCACCGGGCTGTTGGTGTTGCGCTACCTGTTGTTGTGCTGGCTGTTGCTGTGCTGGCTGTTGCTGTGCTGGCTGTTGCTGTGCTGGCTGTTGCTGTGCTGGCTGCTGATGCAGTTGCTGCTGCGATAATCCAGGGGCAGTAGCGGGCTGCTGTGCAGTGGCTTGATTCACTGCCTGAGCAACAGCAGGTGACTGAGCAGCAGCAGTAGCACCAGTAGGAGCTTGAGATGCAGTTTGTTGCTGCTGCTGCTGTTGTTGCTGTTGCATCATCTGGTACTGCATCTGCTGCTGATAGTACTGTTGCCATGCAACCATATTCTGCTGTGCTTGAAGCTGCTCAGCTGTTTGACCGGGCTGTGCGGCAGAGGACGCCTGTGTAGTAGTCGCCGCACTTGACGATGATGCCACTCCTGCCTGGGACTGGCTTGCTGCTGTCGGCTGCTGTGCTCCTTGCACTGCTGCACTACTCGGCGCGGGCGTCTGTTGTTGCTGCTGCTGAGTTGTCTGTGCCTGCTGCTGCTGTACTTGTTGCAAATATTGCTGCTGCTGTTGCTGGTAAACAGCCCATTGCTTGGCTAAGTCTGCAGCTCCAGCTCCAGATGTGGCCGTGGCTGAGGCAGAAGCAGCTTGCTGCTGCTGCTGCTGCCACTTCTGCACTTGATCCTGCGTCCAAGCACTGGCCACCGCTGGTGCTGCACTGCTACCTGTTTGGTTCGGCACTAAAACAGGCGCAGCTGCAATAGTTGGCTGGGAGGCTGTGGCACTTTTCACTGCTCCTGAAGCCGTAGTGGTTGTGACAGCGGTCGAGCTGGCCACAGAAGAAGTCATTGAAGACTCAGTGGTCGCAGCGGCGGCAGTGGTACCGCTTGCTTGGGATACTTGCACCCACCCAGTAGGTCCCCATTGCCAGCCTGGATACTGTTGCGCCATCTGTTGAGCCCATTGCTGCTGTTGCTGCTGCTGTTGGAGATATGCTGCAGCACCGGTAGGATCTACACCAACGGCACCAGCAGCAGGATTCGCAGCCACTGCAGGCGTACCAGAAGTAGCCTGGCTCGCTACTTGTACCCCGCCAATCGGGGCAGCTGAAGCAACTGCGTTACTTGTTGCTGCCACGGGAGTTGCCCAGGAGTACGCTTGCTGTCCAGGCAATTGGTTTTGAGCTTGAGTCCAAGCCATCCTCGAGTTTCACAGAAAATGCGAGGCTAGGATTTCCAAAATACCCCAAGAGGATTCGAGATGTGAAACGTACGCACTCGGGTAATACGTCTCACATTATACAAAGCGTCGCATTCTATGTAGTGTAGCCAGCTGAGTTGTTCTGAGTAAGTAATTCCACAACTAACTACTAGACTTATCTCTAGCTTTGAGATCCGGCTAGCAGGAACAAAAAAATATGCACAGTGTTTTGTAGTTGAAGAGAATTAACATTTACCCATGAAAAAAGAGCAAAATTTTACAACTTTTTTCTGGACACCGGCGGCGCGGTGACTCGTAGATTCTACTCCCGCAGTCCCGGTCTAGCGCGCTAGCCTCTGTCGCATACAGGGCTAGCTAGGCTAGGGCCAGGTGCGGTACCGTTTTTTATGATGATAATTTTGATGCTACCGCGATATGTGAAGCTAGATGCAGACTTTGTTTGCCGCGTCTGACAAGTAAGTAAGTCGCTTTGTTGTCAAAACTCACAACGCTGCAAGCGTTACGCGGATAATGCCCGAAAAACTGGCAGATCGTGCTCGAAAAGCAGTGCACCATACAAACCTTATGCCAAGTATTAGTTATGGGAACCGGGAAGTATGCCATGCATATGGCAGGCGCTAGGCACGTCCTTCGTCATTTCTTTATCCACAGTCTAGTCTAGTCATACCAAAATGAAACATACCGGTACTGTACCAGAAAAATACCAAAATAATTATTTTTTTCTGCATGCAGGCCATGGCTAGCGCTAGGCTAGCTACGCCTCAGCTCAGATCAGTACGACAGTAGACATAGACATGTCGACAGTAGACTCTACGATCGAGTATGATACAGTCGCTCACGACACGAGACAGCCTATAACTAATACTTATAAGGCTATACTATAGCCATCGGCGATCGAACTATTTATAGCTCGCTAGCGGGACTCCATTTCCCGATGTGTAGCGCATGCGCGCGGAAAAGAAATTTTGGAGGAGTTTTCACTTGGGCAGTTTGAGTAGCCTTCGAAGTTCGATCCAGCGGTTTTTTTTATAGTACAGAACTGAGATGCCGTTCACATCAGAGAGTTGAAGGGACTTGGAGTGTAATGTAGGAAACATGGCATCCCTGGGTCCTGAAGACGACCTTTATCCTATCCAAGTTCTAATAGACGAGCTTCGCAATGACGATGAGCAACGCAATGAGGATGTTCAACTCCGTCTCAACTCTATCAAGCGGCTGTCAACTATCAGTCTCGCACTTGGAGAGGAGCGAACAAGAAAAGAACTTATTCCATTTGTATCAGATTTGATGGATGATGAAGACGAAGTTTTGTGTGCATTGGCTGAACAGCTTGGAAACTTCTTGCCTCTTGTTGGAGGCGAAGAGCATGCTCATTGTCTCTTGCCACCTCTGGAAAACCTAGCAACAGTCGAAGAGACAGTAGTACGGGAGAAAGCTGTCGAGTCCCTTCGTACAATTGGTGCTCAACACAGTAGTGCAGATGTGGAGACTCATTTTGTCCCGATGCTCCGTCGGCTAGCTCAAGGAGATTGGTTCACCGCCAGAGCGTCCGCGTGTGGACTAATTAAGCCTGCTTACGTTGGAATAGGCCAAGGAGCCATTCGTGGTGAAATTTGTACCATGTTTCGTGGACTGTGTGGGGATGATACTCCTATGGTACGTCGTGCAGCAGCTGGCAGAATTGGGGAGCTTGCTCCATGTATGGAGACTGACCACTTGCGCGCTGAGCTGATCCCCGTCTGGGGTACCCTCTCAACAGATGAGCAGGATTCAGTGCGTGTTTTGGCAGTGGATGCCTGTGGTGTCATAGCCAAGATTTTGAACAAGGAGGCGACAGAAGAGGTCGTGATGCCGATTGTACGCGAAGCCAGTCGCGACAAGTCTTGGCGTGTTCGCTTAGCGACAGCAGATAACTTCAGCAACCTAGTAGGATCCGTCACCACAGATCTGGTGAAGACGGAGCTTGTTTCGACATATGCGACTCTGCTAAAGGACCCAGAGGCGGAAGTCCGAACAGCAGCATGCAAGCGACTCCGGGCCTTCTGTGAGCAACTGCCAGAAGAGTTCCGTGAAGACGCTGTCATGGCAGACATTCTGCCCTGCGTTCAGGTGAGATATTGCCTAACCTCTTTTCCTCAGTTACTTACCTCACTTCGCATAGAAATTAGTACTAGCGCCGTAAAAGCCCGTCCACTACACTACACCTTCGTGTGATCGCCCATGGGCGAAAGCACGGACGGGCCCAGTACACATGCAGTGCATGTACGATACGGAGTTACCCATAGTCCCTAGTGGCTGATGAATATTATGTTGGTGTGAAAATTAGTCTGATTTCACATATCCGAAATAACGCCAAGGCCCACATTAGCGGCTGTATTCTGGACTATGTTCCACCCGGGCCTCATTTCGGGCTTTTACGGTTTATGCCTAAGCTAAGCAGAGAAAGGTGGTTCTTGACCTCTTTAAATCTCTATCTCCGGGCAGTTAGGGGCCGTCCGGGGTTACCGATTGTTTGTACAAAACGAAAAGTTTTAGTATTTTACATCCCCCATCCACCTTCCTTTTCTGCAGGTAAAATGAATTCCAATAAAGTATTTATGTCAATTTTCGACACCCAGAAGTAACTGGGCATTCTCCATCTGCATTCAATACTTATTAGAGAGGTTCCGCATAACGTAATTACGTTAGTAAAAAACGTAGTCGATCTACGGAAAGTCTTACGTAAACTGCATGCGCATCTGGGTTCCGCCATACGGAGTTTTCAAATCACGTAGCTGCCTTTGGCAACTCTCCGAACGCGGCAGTGTACGACCAGATCGACATGGGGAGAGTCTTAAATTTGTACCCCAATCCACTTACGGACCAGCTACGTTATCAGAGCCCTATCTACATACTCTCCGTAGACAACTTTCCGTAAGTGGAGTGCAAACTCGCGAATTCACGGGTTTTTCCCGCCCACTAACGTAAAGTTGCTCAACTTTACGTAGTGCGGAACCTCTCTATTTTCAAAACGAAACGCCTTCAAACCAACCCACCCCCAAAGAAAAACTTCGTTTTGAAAATACTATTGGTAACCTTGGATGGTCCCCTGAGCTGTTTTGGCCTTGTTAGGTCGCATCAGCGGAGCTCGAAGTGGCTGGCCGAACAGATTGCAATCAGGTCTAGTCAACAACAAAGCATTTTAAATTGACTCAAAGCAAGTCCTTTTTTAATGTTATTTGTAAATATTCATAGTATGTAGGACAACGCACAGTGCAAACTGAAGCCGGTTTTGAGGCGAATGTAGTCAAACCTGTCCTATCCTGCATTGTGTGACAATTCCTGATTAGGTGTTGACCTGGATGTACTGTTCGATAGTATATGCAGCCTTCTATGGCACCTTGTGCACGCGGGTAAGCTGCTGTTCCTAGTCACTCATTCACTGTGTTCTTCTCTGTGTGTGTGTTTTCTTTTCTATAGACACTTGTAAATGATGCGAACCAGAATGTAAAAATCGCTCTTGCCGGTGACTTGATGAGTCTAGCAACCTTCTTGGGAAGGGAGAAGACGGTTGAACATCTTCTGCCACTCTTCCAGTCACAGCTCAAGGATGAAGTGTCAGAAGTCCGCCTCAACATTGTGAAGAACCTAGATTCAGTGTCAAGCGTGATTGGTGTAGCGCAGCTAACACAGTCTATTCTACCAACGGTTGTGGAGCTAGCAGAAGATACCAAGTGGCGGGTGCGCCTTGCTATCATCGAGTACATGCCCCTTCTCGCCAAGCACCTCGGTCCCGATGTGTTTAGTGACAAGTTCAATGGCCTGTGCATGAACTGGCTTGTGGACAACGTCTATGCAATCCGTGTTGCAGCAGCGACTAACCTCCGGAGGCTTGTGGAGACGTTTGGCAAGGACTGGGCACAGGCCAGCATCTTACCGAAGGTGTTGGCGATGGCACGAGACCCAAACTACCTGCATCGACTTACAACGCTCTTTTCAGTCAACATGCTCGCAGAGGCTGTGGGTGCTGAGCTCGTTCACTCATCCGTTCTCAATGTCATCGTCCAGTTAGCGTCAGACAGTGTGGCCAACGTCAGATTTAATGTAGCACGTACCCTTGGTCGCCTGGCTGCCATTCTGGATAAGGATCATCGCAGTGTCGTGACCAGTGAGATCAAGCCAGTCCTGGAGCGCCTCAACCAGGACTCTGACCCGGATGTCAAGTTCTTTGCCACCGAGGCACTTGTGGTAGTTGCAAGTTAATTTTTGTTTTATAAGGCATTGACATGCAGCTCAGTGTAGCAAGAATATGTGATGTGTGGCTGCAATGAGGGTGTTGTGACCAATTATTAGATCAAGCCAGTCCTGGAGCGCCTCAACCAGGACTCTGACTCTGACCCAGATGTCAAGTTTTTTTGCCACTGAGGCACTTGTGGCAGTTGCAAGTTACTTTTTTTTAATAAGGCATTGACATGCAGCTCGGTGTTGCAAGAATGTGTGTGATGTGTGCATTGTGCTTGCAAAGCAATAAAGGCAACCTACTTGTGTGTGACAGAGTACTGAGCCTAGAGGATGGAGTGTCTACTGTATGTACTTGAATCTATTGAGTACAGAAAGAAAATGATGCAACTTGTCAGAGAGACTACCTACTACATGCTAAATGAACATTGCTACGGAGTCAGCGCGCGCGTGTGTGTGTGTGTGATATAAAACCAAACAATAGTCAAGTTGGCCTATGTAATAGTATGTATACAGCCCAAGATCTCAAAGAAATCCAGCAAGATAGAAAAAGGCTATGAAATGAATCCCTCCTACGCTAAAACCAAATGAAGAAAATAATCACATGCTGAAGCCAAGCTAGCAATGCTTAGGCACATCTGCAGACATCCACTCAAGAGGCTAGGAAAACATGGTGAATTTTTGCCTATAATAGAAATATCACACTGTGTGTCTTGCCGACAGACACTGCACGCCAGTAGTATCAACAAGCGTCGGTCGTACTGCGGGTCCGTGCCTCGGCGTTTGACGTTGCCAACTGTGCTATGTCCTTGAACACATGCGAAACATCCGCAGCTGTCCATGGCACACACGCAAAAGAAACGGTAAAGGCACAAGCAGTTCAGGGAGAGATGCATCGGGGCATACTCGTAATGTCGCATATAAACGCAGGTGCTTACGGCCGTGTAAGCCAATGTCAGTGCTAGGCTTCTATTCAAACCACGTATCTCTATGTATGTCAATACTAAACCAGGCTTATGTGCTGACAGTGTATCTTAAAAATCAGGCTTGTATTCAAAACGCTTTTATACATAGAATATAACCTGAGTCCCGAGTGTTTACGGGAAATAAAAACCCGAGGTTTTTTGCCGAGGGTTTTTCCCGTAAACACGAGGGCGAAGCTAATATTCTATTTAAATTATAGCATAAAAAACCTCCAGTCATTTTCCTAAAAAGTGGTTTTTTATAGCACCAGGTTTTTTATATGAGTGATTACCAGAAATATTACCTGCTTTTTAGAACACGCAAATGACTGGAGTTTTTTTAATACTATATTAAATTTAAAAGACACTACAGTAGTATAAATCAAGAATATTTCAGAGCCAAGTGTGTTCTGGGCAAACTAAACTGCTGCAACACAAATTTGCGCAGCTAACTTGTCCACTCTTTCAAAAACTTCCAAAATAAAAAAGTTCTCTATTCCTCGACGTTACGGCCCAAGACTGGAACGAAGTTAATTCGAAGTTCAGCAAAATGGGACAGTTTGCCCAGAACACCTTTCGGTTCAGAAATGAAGCCGCGTGAAGTGTCCAACTCCAAACAGATCAAGAATACTTCCTACATGAAAACTCCACCCGTTTTCATCTATAACTAGGCTCCTGTTACTAGGGGTGAAATTGCAAATCTGCCCAACCGGGGGCTCGGACAAAATCAGAGTACTCAAACTCGGAATCTCACTGCAAACTTTCACCCCCATCTTTAAAAAAAACATTCCTTTGCACAATATCTCTGTACATATGACTTATCCGCCATGATACTGAACAAATTCACGGTTCGCGTGAGACTCGGCTGAGGGCCGAGTTTTCCGCATCCGTAGGAACGCCACCACCCTCTATGGATCAAGGCACAGATGCAGCTCCTAAGCGTGATGTGAGCATCGTTTATTTGTTGAGATGCATGATTGTATTAACAATGGAAGGGGAACTACTTGCAAAAAAACTTTATAATTAGTATAGACAAGTCAAAATATGAAAACAGGAAGAAGAAACGAGGTCATACTAGTAACAGTACAACATACCAAGCATATGCCATAGCGTGAAAAGAAATTTATAGCAGATGAATGAAAGAAGGTTTTTAGCTATATAATAACATGAGTATGACTGCAACCCTGCGTTTCAGCCCGGGGCAGCACACGTATAATGTGACCAATAGTATTTTCAAAACGAAAAGTTTTCGTTTGGGGGTGGGTGGGTTTGAAGGAGTTTCGTTTTGAAAATAATTATTGAATGCAGATGGAGAATACCCAGCTACTTCTGGGTGTCGAAAATTGACATCAATATTTTATTGAAATTCGTTTTACCTGCAGAAAAGGTAGGTGGGTGGGTGGGTGCTGAAAAATACTAAAGCTTTTCGTTTCGCGAAAACTATTGGTAACCCCGGGGTAGTGCCCCTTAGGCCATCCCACTATGCCTGCTGCCTGCGCCATGATACCAGCTATGCATAAAGTAGTAGGTCATGAACTGTGAAAGAGTCGTACTCACAAATGTTCTAGACCTGATTGTACCTGCCAAATATAGGCCAAGTTGCCTCACAAAAAGTTTTCGCCATCTTCGATGCACACCTCCCATTTCTTATGCAGCCTAGCTAGCCTCAGCATACGAAATAAAAAATTACTAAATACCGGTAATTGCAGTGGGACTTCATTAAAATCACGTACATGTACCACCATGGGCAGCAGGAAAATGAAATTGGGTATCGGAGGTATTTCTTCTAATTCTTATCCCAACATAGACCAGTGTGGATCAATGCACCACCCCCTTGTGCTCTGGACAAGGTCTGTACTAAGCAAGTACATGTCTTTCAGAGTATGTAGTAAGTGAGCTGTACACTGTACACAATTAAACCACTGGCACGCGAAGCATTCTTGATTTGCAGAATGTAATTACAGCAAGACCTGGCTCTGCATAATTACCGTATTTGTAGAGGATATAACCCGAGTCAGAGGGTTATACCGGCTGAATATAAATCCCGACTGCGATAGCAGGAGGGATTTATATGAGGGTACGGTATAACCCGACTACGAGGGTCATATCCTACTTATGCCAGGTACCCCTACGCATTTCCAGAACAACGAACCTATTTGGAGATCACCTACATCATACAGTACATGAACATGTTCTGCTGGTTATCAGTTGTCAATTGAAAGAATGGTCGAGCAAGATCAGAAGGAGATTCCTCCGTGGATGTGTGGCATCAGATTTCCTTTCAGTTCCAGACTTCCAGTGCATATTGTAGCATATTGTCTCGTGAGCGATGCGGAAGTCAACTGAATTGCTGGGGTGGTGGAGTTGTTGTTGAATCAAACTACCGTCACTAGTTAGACTACAGTACAGTTTGAACTCTTTGGGAGTAAGTGTTACTATTATCATGATTATATGGTACAGTGCTGATTTTCACATGAGGCATCTTATAATCAGGTTTGCTTACTTGCAAGTAGATGCATTTGCATACACTGTTTTGTATCACTGTATCACATTTCAATCCATTCTAGCGTTATTCCAATCGGTTTACATGTAGGTGGATTTGAAGTACACTCTGTATCATAAACTTAGTTACGAAGGAGACAGTCTGTTGATGATCTTCAACTATTTGAAGTACAATGTACATTGCTGACCCATTCGGGATACTTGGTGGTTATTTGACGTTCTTTATCCTCAGCCTTGAAGTAGAATACGTCATGTAGAATACATGTAGAATACATGTACTCGGTAGACGAATTCCAGGTCATTCTTCTTTTCCATTGTGTACTGTTCCTCGTCAGTAATGCCGTTCTGTGTGGAGTGTACACGTGCATGTGGTGTATGTTGTGTCTGTTGTGAATGGTCCGTGCGCTGGAGTGCTGCCGTCGTACAAGTTCACTGCCTTTCAGGCAGTGAACTTGTACGGTGGCAGTGCCCTAGCGTACGTACCGTGCACCGGGATTTATATTCAATATAAATCCCGCGCGGGATTTATACTGGCCAATATAATCATGGCTAGACGAGCGCTGATTGGCTGAAAACAGGCCCTCCGCACCGTACCAGGGTATAACCCGGAGTATAAGTCACACTGAAGTATAAGTCACACTGGGGTATAAACCGCACTGGAGTATAAGCCGCACACCCCCCCCCCCCATTTTTTTGCCACGCAATACAGACATCTATCCTATTTAATATTTATCACCGTTAATTTGATCATCGGAGTATAAGCCGTACCCTTTTTTGGGTTAATTTTGAGTGTTCAAAGTGCGGCTTGTACTCTAGAAAACACGGTATGTTGTTTCAACAACGATATCCGCACACGTGAGAAGCCAGACAACTGTGCTACGCCGAATCAAGTGCTTGCTGTAAATCTACTGCAAGCGACTATCCACAACATCCACCAACTGGGAAACGGATACCGTATTTTCCGGTGTGTTAGCCACACTTTAAAACGCATAAAACAACTCCAAAATCGCCCCGCGGCTTGGACTCCGAATGCTGGTTGTGATGTTACATCTTGTATGCACCCGTACCCACGAAGATAGGTTGCCAAAAATGTCAAAGTCTGACATGTGGCTTATACTCCGAACGTCAACAAAAAATACGAATATTGGGCCTGCAAAAGGGGTGTGTGTGTGTGTGGGGGGGGGGGGGGGGGGTGAGTGCGGCTCACAACCCGGAAATATGATACATGACTCATGGACTGGAAAGGTGAATGTTCCACTGATGCGCTGTACATTGGTTTGCAATCAGGCCAGTGCTGACTGCAATCTATTTTTTTTGTTTTGTTTTGTTTTTCAGCCAAGAGTCAACATGTTCACCATGCAGCCTGGATAACACCTGACACGTGCACTCTGGACAAATCTCAGGTCCAACAAAATCCTGAAACTAAGAGGGCTCAAGCCTGGCTAGATACATACAATGAAAACTAACAAGGTCGAAACAGCCAGCTGTCCGAAGATTGAGTACGAGAATATAACGAAACCGCCATAGCCAGAATTTAGTGTTACGAAATGTGTGCATGTGTGTGTGTGTGCGTGCGTGCGTGCGTGCGTGTGTGTGCGTGTGCGAGTGTGGGTGCAATGAATGAGCATCTGCCAATCATTCACCAGAAACTGGCCAGTAGAAGAACTATCTCCGGATGAGCACAAGAGCCCAGGCAGACTGGTCAGACTGGTCAGTATAAACAAAGGAGCATTATTTCAATTACATGTAGTACACTAGAATCAGCATGACAAATAGCTTACCTCCGCCAGCTCGCACATCATCGCCTTCCCGTTTACTGTCCTCATTCAGTTTGGCCAGGCGAAGTCTGAATTAGAATAGTTACACAAACCTCAGACCTCAGACATGCCCATCGCGGAAGCGATGATAGCGAACAGCTATGTTAGACATAGCAACTTGTGCTGGGATTACACCATTCAACAGCTTGCAAGGCTGATGAATTGACCGCCACTATTTTTAGCCTGGTATCCACCACACAGCTGTTGGAAGTGACTTTTTCTGGCCAGTGAATCCCTATTTTTCATTTTTCCATTTTTTTCTACCCACACATCACGCCACATACTCCGGCATACACTGGCTGTTGGTAACCACCCAGGAGAGTGAAAGAAAAGTCAGGAAGAGTCTGAGAAAGAGAAGAAAGACGTGTGTGACCATAATCGTCGGGAATTGAACCCGCAACCTCTCGATTGGAAATCGACTGCACATACCACTGCACCATATGGGACACACACACACACACACACACACACACACTTGTACTCGTTGCTCACTGCCAAAACTGGTCACGTGGGTCTCCCCGGGAGAGAGGAGAGAGACTCAAAAGGAATCTTGGAAAGATGACTCAATTGGCTACTGAACCGCCCAACGGCCGACACCCCCTGAAATCCCCAAAACTCTGGGTGGACTTGAAAATGATCCCACTTATGGGCTCACCACACCTCAGTAAGTGGGTGAGGACAAGGTGCAGAGAAAGGATTGATGGCATCAGGGTATCCGTCCTGGGATCCAACTGCAGTTACCCCTGCCCCCAGTGAAGGTAATACTTGCTACTAGTGTGAGTGGCTAAATCAGAGTGGATCTGATAGAAGCTTCACTAGCACCATGATTACACAAGAGTTAATCTAGCCAGAAGTAGTCCATGGTTAACAGGTATGTATACTTCAAATAGAAAGTATATGAACCCTGAAACCAACAAAGGTGATAAGTACAACATTACACCTTCAAGCAGCCGAGCCCGTTGGCAACAGACCCAACACTATCCGGCATAAGTGTACCCACCAACCGAACTAGCTGACACACACACACACACACACACACACACACACACACATGCACACACACACGCACACACACACACACACACACACACACACACACACACACACACACACACACACACACACACACACCTTTGGACCTTTGGAAAGCCCATCGCCGAAGGCGATGATAGCTATTAGGCGAGGCAGTAGTTCTTGTGTCGGGATAAATCATTCGGACGGCGAAAGTCGCGGCCGCAGACACAGACGAACACTCTTGGTTGGGGCTGGCTTGGTGGCTTCCGACGGCTACGTTCGCGCCAGTCCCTCCGGTCCTGAGCAAGGTGGTACCATTGCGTCTCCGGGATACCGGTCGCACGCAGGTCTGAAGCTGCCACATCTCTCCAACGACGCTTGGGTCCATGGCGGGGCCGCGTGTTAGTGCCCTCCGCAAACAGGATCTGCTTTGGCAACCTGGTGTCGTCCATCCTTGCGAGGTGACCAAGCCATCGCAGGCGATTCACACGAATGGCCTCCTCCAGCGAGGCTGGCATGCCGCTGCGCTTCGCCAAGTCTTCACTTGACAGCCCGAATATAAGTCGACCACCCCAAATCCAGGAGTCAATTTCATGAAAAAAAGTTTTTATACATGTAGCTCCATGACAGCCACACATACAAAATGATGAATTCTCTGCGAGGAGAGATCATATCATGCCAGTAAGACAAAATCTGAACAAACCAGTGTCATCCAATGTTCATTCAATGTTAACTGCCACTGCCAAGTTCACATGGTTCGTACGGTAGTGCATTTTTGTACGGACACTCCAGTCACTTCATTTGTTGTGCCAGATTCCCGTATGTAAGTCAAGTTCCGTTTGTAAGTCGACCCCCAGCTTTTGGCGAAATTTCTGGCGCACAGAAGGTCGACTTATATTCGGGAAAATACGGTATAGCAACGACAGCAGATCTGATTCTCAATGGAATAGATCAAGACAAGCGCCAGATAACTGTCTAATCCACACAACTGGCCAAGCCATGTGAATCCCCCCAATGCACACCTGGTCTACACACGGAGTACATCGGAATAGGACGGCCAAGACGGTTACCTATGCACACCCTACACTTGCTGGGGTAACACACACACACACACACACACACACACACACACACACACACACACACACACACACGCACGCACGCATGCACGCACACACGCACACAAGGCACGGGAAATATCTGTGACGATATAGGATGGACAGTTCAACCCAAAGCAAACGCGTGTGTGTGTATGTGTGTGTGTGTGTGTGTGTGTGTGTGTGTGTGTGTGTGTGTGTGTGTGTGTGTGTGTGTGTGTGTGTGTGTAAGTAAGTAAGTAAGATAGATAGATAGATAGATAGATAGATAGATAGATAGAGAGAGAGAGAGAGAGAGAGAGAGAGAGAGAGAGATAGAGAGAGAGAGAGAGAGACAGAGAGACAGAGAGACAGAGAGAGACTGAGAGAGAGAGAGAGACAAAGAGAAGAGAGAGAGAGAGACAAAGAGAAGAGAGAAAGAGAGACAAAGAGAAGAGAGAGAGAGAGAGAGACAAAGAGAAGAGAGAGAGAGAGAGACTGAGAGAGAGAGAGAGGCATGCACTAAAACGAAATACAGACTAAGCAGAAGGACCAGGGATCCCCCTCACTACAGGGATCCCCTCACCACAGGACCAGGGATCCCCCTCACTACAGGACCAGGGATCCCCCTCACTACAGGACCAGGGATCCCCCTCACTACAGGACAATCTGAACTTACAGCGTCACAATATCCACATACGGCTCTTCTAAGGCTAGGTCTAGAGCTTCCTACAGGTGAGCAGCAAACAACAACAACAACAACAACAACAACAACAACAACAACAACAACAACAACAACAACAACAACAACAACAACAACAACAACAACAACAACAACAACAACAACAACACTCTTATTGGCGATGGTGCCATCGTGAGAATAAAGAATTCAAACAGAGAAGATGAAAAAGAGAAAATCTCACAGAGACAAACTACAGAGCTACCATGCAGGGAGCAACACACAATTCCTGAGCACATTTGTCAACTTGAAAAAAAGTAGCTCCACTCCAAGGTAACTATACTATGGCACCTGATTGGGGAACTGTTTGAGTTGCACTGGCCTATGTGCCCCCATACCCTATGCCGCACACATACACTGCTAGCGAACATGTGAACATGACTAAATACAACAGGCACTGGCAATGAGACAAGCAAGCAGCAAGTCAGCGAGCCCTTAATTAGAGACACACCCGCACCTTGCCAGATCTGTCCTTTATGCCCTGGTGCGCACCGCGCTTTAGTAGCAGACACACCATGCTGCAGCAGAGAGTAGAGCCAACACACACACACACGCACACGCACGCATGCACACACACACACACACACACACACACACACACACATGTTTATGTATAATTATGTACAATGTCAATGTAACTAACTGGTTACTCTACACGTACCAGCATAGCAGCAATGGAAAGAGTAAAAGCAGAATCGGTAGTGAGACACATGGATACTACCAAGGTTAAATAGTATATCAGCTCCCAAGAGTATATCAGCTCCCAAATGCACATCTGCATATGGTATTGACCGCACCGCTCTTTGTTCCAGTTACCTCGTGAATCAATAAAATGCACTGATTTCAGCTCCAAAATTCAAAAATATTCCATCGGAGCAACCCCCTCCCAACAAGTAAATTGTGCCTCAGACGGCTGACCGCACCACCCTAAATAATTACCTTCCGATGCCCCTAATTTCATCGGTATGTAGTGCTGAAAAGCAGAAAACACCAACAGCACTAACTACGGTATATGACACAGATAGACTTCAGTCAATGTAGTCTTCGCTCAGGTCAAACGATTCATGTTTCGAGTTTGTGAGAGTCATTGCGGCCCATTGTTTGTCCCGCCAGCATGTCTGGTCATCGTTCTGGGCCTCGGCGCAAACGGTCAGACGTCTGGCAACATTTCATTCAATCGAAGGACAGTGGTCATGTCGCAACACTCGGAAGCTTGGAGACAAAGGAGTTCTCGTGCACAAGAGCGGCTCAACAACAATGATGAGAGAGCACCTTCGGACGACTCACAATATCGATCCGGATCCAAAGGACCGCACGACTAAAGCTGTGTCATCCAGCAGTGCTGGCGGTGCGCAAAGCAAAATCACTGCCTTTGCTATTTCATTGCCGGACACGTCGAAATCATTTGCACCAGCGACTCAGAAGCAAGCCATGCGAGTGAGGAGTCTCCTGACAGCAGCAGCATCGCCGTTGAGCCGAGCGCCAAGAAGCCCATGTCAGCCCTCAACCAGCTACTAAGCAGTGACGACTGTAGCAGTGTTTGCACGTCATCATTGATCCATGAATGGGTGGCATTATTCCTGATGGAGAGACCAGTGTCTAAGAGCGCCGACCCTTTGCAATGGTGGAAAAGCAATGCCAGCAGGTTTGACTTGTTAGTTCCCCTCGCAAAACGCCTGCTCTGCGCACCTGGAACGTCCGTGCCTTCAGAGAGGGTGTTCTCCTGCTCAGGGATCATCGTAAACAAGCTTCGGTCCTCTCTGACGCAGGAGAATGTCGACATGCTGGTGTTCCTCTGCAAGAACACCATGTTGCCATCAGCGAGATCGAGAGTCAGCTGTCAGCTTGCTGCTTCCAGCCAACCGGAGCTCAAGCCAGCCTCTGATTTTATGCAGGTGCTGGAAGAGGAGCTGCCACCACTTCCCAATCTTGCTGAGACCATTGACTCGAGTTCCAGTGAGAGTGAGGGTGCAGATGAGGAGGACACTCAGAAACTGTTGTTCATTCGCATTTTTAACTAAAAATGCCATCTGAGTGTTGCTGCATTGCATAAGATACATCTTACTTCTTGCTGAATAGTAGTGCATTGTAGATTTGTACTTTGTAGTCATCTATTATCATTACCTCTTGCTGAATACTGCATGCTGTTCACTGCTTGATTTTGCGAAAGAAGCAATTCATCATACTAATCATACATTCTTACAAAATCTGACTATACGGCTGTAACAAGGTCTGATTTTTTGTCCTTTTTTTGAGATATTTGACCGTGTTGAAAAAAAGAATCCTTCAACACCTTGTTCGTTTTGAAAAAGAAGGTTTGAATGGGAGTTTGAGACCTTCGTTTCACCCCTACCACCAGCGACATCAGTGCCAGCTAAGCAAGTCTTTTCTGCGTGTGGTAGATTGTGAATAAGCTCCGTTGCTCGCTCCTCCCTGCCAATATTGATGCCGTGGTCTTCTTCGTTCGCAACAAATCCATCTTGACTTCGACTGGTCCAGTAGCAATTTCCTCATCTGTGCAATCAGCCATGTCTTCTGAATGTGTGGCTGTGTCATCATCTTCTGCTATGGGAGTGGGAGCGTTGTCATCTTCCATGACTGCAATGAAGCATGACTGGTGCTGATATTGCTGATTTTGCTGTGCTGCATGCTTCTTCAATCTGATCTCTTTATCTGTAAACCATTCACAATGTAATTACTAGTTCTACAATAATCCAGACCAAGCATATTACGAGCCATGTAATTCGTATTTCGTGTGCTGCGGGATAACATCAATTTTCGTGTTGCAGGGGTGTGAACTGCATTACATTTACTACTTAGTATTACCAATACAGTAAAACCGGGTTTAAACGACCACCCCACGGTGCAAGCAAAAGCGGTCATTAAAGCCAGGTGGTCTTTAGAACCAGGTAGTGTCTGTGTGGAACTGTCGGTGCATGGAAAAACGATCGTTAAGAGCAGGTGGTCGCTAAACACAGAGGTCGCTTACACCAGGTTTTACTGTACTTGCACAATGGCATGATTCCATGAACCATGATTAATACTATAATAGCAACTTGTGGTATTCCTTCTTACTTCTATCACCAGAAATGAACAATGTGCATGATGAATTTGAATTTCTATACATTTTTGCTGGAGCTTATGACTCATATCTTACCAGGAAAACCTTGATGGTGCGTTGTGTCAAGTTGGGTGTAGTATAGGAAGGTCTAGGACGCAGTACTAGTAATCGATATCATAATCGATAATCGAATCGATACAAGGGTAGGTTAACCGATAGTTGAAAAGTGTAATCGTTTCACCCCTAGTCGTATTATTAAAATGAGCATCAATCTTCTACCCACCACTGCTATTGCAGCACCAGTGTACTACTACTACTACTACTACTACTACTACTACTACTACTACTACTACTACTACTACTACTACTACTACTACTACTACTACTACTACTACTACTACTACTACTACTACTACTACTACTACTACTACTACTACTACTACTACTACTACTACTACTACTACTACTACTACTACTACTACTACTACTACCTACCCTGTTTCACCAGAAGCTGCAGCAACATGCAGCGGAGTGCGGTCATCTAGATCGGCCATGTCGACGAGAGCCCCATTCTGCAGCAGCAGCTCAGCACACTCCACTGAATTCTGTAGCATGGCGACGGACACACATACACATAGGACAACACATTCTAATTCAGTGAAACTGGCATTTTGCAACCACCTGCATTTAGAAACCACCTGTCTTAAGAGACCACCTGACTTTAGAGATCACCTGTCTTAAAAAGACATCATCTGACTTTTTTTAGAGATCACCTGACTTTAGAGATCACCTGACTTTAGATTAAGAGACCAGCTGACTTTAATTACCTGACTCTAGAGATCACCTGACTTTAGAGATCACCTGACTTTAGAGATCACCTGACTTTAGAGATCACCGACTCTAGAGATCACCTGACTCTAGAGATCACCTGACTCTAGAGATCACCTGACTCTAGAGAGTGCCTGTCTTGAGAGATCACCTGTCTTTAGAGTGATTACTGTCAGTGGCACAAAGTCTAGCATTTTAACGAGACAGAAGCAACGCTACACGTATGTAATCCCTTCTCTCCTCGGTACTGGAGAAATACAATTAAAAAGACAGGTGTGTTCTGGCAGGGTCTGTGTCCGCAAAGTGGGATATTTTCGCAAATCGTTAAACATTAGACTCGTCATAACAGTTACTTTCAATTCTTACAGTAGTAACACCAAGTCGCAGAGCTTGTTTTTAAGACACCAACAGACCTACATGTATCTTCAATGACCACTTGTCTTCAAAAAGTCCAATGGCCAGTTTCCGTGCCCCACGGGCACATGGCTTTGCACTCGTCCGTCCGCACACGTATATAGTACATGTACATGAATACAATTCATCAAGCGCGGCCAAGGAATCAAGGTACTGTACATACAGTCAACCTTGCAAATTACAATCCTCAATCAGGCATGAGAAATGTGTTATTCTTTGCGAGGTGTCATTATATGCAGTCAAGCGGTTATGTTGTGCGAAGATAGTGTTGCCATCCGCGAGTTGTCAAATATCCGAAGTGTTGTTATTGGCCAGGTTGACAGTACCGTAAAAGTCCGTAAATAAGTACTTGGTACGTATTTACTTTCGAATTTAGTGACCACACCCGTACTAACTTTCGGGCGGGTATTGACTTTCGGGCGCGAACTAACTTTCGGACCTGACTTGTGTGTAGTGGAGAAGTCATTTTCATGTCGATGTACATGCTACGTGCTGCATGTGCATACCGTATCGGTACTTATTTCGGGCAGTATGTTTATCGGGCTTGACTTGACTTCAACAGACAGAGCCAAAAGAATGAAGGGGGTATTTCTTTCGGGCAGGTACTTAGGCGAGACCAAAAAAAATAGAGATTCCCGGGCCCTCCCGCACCAAAATCGAGCCAAAGCCAATTTTTTTTGAACAGTTCATACATGTACAGTAATAATCGTGTGAGTAGATCTGTGACGTGGAGTCACAAACCCGAGCTTGTACCTATGTACGACTCCCTGATGTACAGATCAGGGCCATCCATGCATCGTTGGCCGAAATACAGAAAAATAGAACGGGTAAACCGCGTACCTGTTGTCTGTAAAAAAAATGAATAAAATTTACCGGAAAATGCTGTAAAAAAAGTTCAGCATGGCATGCACACATAAATTCATGTACAATGTACATACATGGGAAAATAAAAAATAAAATTCGCCCGCCCGCACCAATTTCACATGGGTCCTGCCCGGGAATCTCGATTTTATTCCCGTAGCTATGCAGAAGACGTTACTTCAGTAACGTCTGGCGCTAGCCAGGGTCCACACAGCTTTAATTTGGTGTTTGTTTGTTTGTTTGTTTGTGTCACGCTTGGCGCTATCCCGTGTCTGTCCCGTACCGTACCGTACCAGCACAGACAGCTGGCCACAATATTATTTGTTTGTTTGTGCCATCAGCATGCCCGGCGCTATCCCATACCTGTCCCGTACCATCAAGAGTACGGTACCATCAAGAGAATGAGTATATATGCGAAGTGTATGGGGGAATGCATTCAGGCCGATAGTGCAGTAGCATTTTGTGTGGATTTGTGTGCGAGGCCGAGATCCCACTGGCAGGCTGGCTGGGCCGCCTGTCGACCAACCCGGGATTCGCATGTAGGCCGATAGCATTATAATTATAACGTATATAGATGTATAGCAGGGATTCGTATTATGTAAACGACTCCCTGCTGTATAGGGAGATTTTCTGGAAAGAAATACGAAGTAGGGAGACGAGGAAATGCTATTAGAATGGACGTTAGTTGCCGAATAAAAGACAGGATGCGTCAGCAAAAACATACTTTGGAAGAGAGACCCCGTCATCTCCAAAATAAACCTGAACGGGCGAGTCCGCGCCGGTCACAGGAAACGTCGTAAGAGAGATCCCGTCGACTCCAGAACGTCCGTGATCGGCAGAGTCAGCGCCGGTCACTAGGGGTGTGCGGATAATGCTCGAAAAGGTGGCAGATTCTGCTCGAAAAGCAGTGAAATTGGCAGAACCATACAAACCTTATGGCGGGCAATTCCTCGAATTCTGCTCCATTTCTTTATCCACATACCAAACATGCATGAAACTTACCAGAAAAAGTACCGAATTCTGCCAATTTTTCTGCCGGAATTATCCGCATATGCCTACCGGTCACAGGAAACGTCAGGACAGACATCCAGTCGACTCCAGAACACTAGCCAGGGCCATCACAGCTTTGACACGTTACATGCATGATGAGCAAGCAAAAAAGCATAGCGTAGGGCCCTGAGCTTCCAAGCTCTCTCGTTTTGGTCTCGCCTTATTTACGGACTTTTACGGTACATGTACAATGTCATGCAGCAGTGCTGATACTCAGTTACACGCTGCGGAGCTTACCGCCACGACGGCCTGATGGAGCGCTGACTGGCCATTGGCCGAGCGGTTCACCCAGTTCACGACAGCGCCTGTACAGTGCAGCAGCAGTCACAATGCACAGATCTCAGCAGAGATGTACAGCAATCACAACGCATACATCTCACAGAGATGCAAACAGTGCCGACTTGCTGCAGCAACTCAGCACCTGCAGTGAAAACGTCAGGTTTTGTGCGAGGTCTGCCAAGCAACTATGGATCAGTAATCCAGGTGTTGCTTGCCCCCCCTCCCCCCCCCCCCCCCCAGCTAGCACTTCAAGGTATGTAGTTCCCCTGGCACTCAATAGAAAAAACGTTTCCTACTGAAAATGCTACATTTGTTCAAGAATGATTGTGTGTGTTTTTATACTTAAAAAAAAGCCCACGCCCAACTCGCAAGGGAAAGAAAAGATAAGAGTACACAGGACGTGTGTGTGTGTGTGTGCACTCGTATGTGTGTTTGTGTGAACGTGTGCGTTTGTTCACGCAATTGTGTATGTGGTGTGTGTGTGTGTGTCCGTGTGTACACATGCACACGCATATACCGTCAGACTATACTTCCCACAAACATTAACTTTTTTCAGACCACTGTTTTCTTGACATGATGTACACGGCCAGAGCAAGCTACTGTTGTGTTATATAATCACTCAGGAAGGTCAGGGTTGGGGTCAGGGTTGTGGTCAGGGTTGTGGTCAGGGTTTGGGAGAAGGCCGTAACCAGGGTTTGGGATTGGTATTCTGAAAGAGTTTGCTACTTCGAAGTACAAATATGTTTCACGTGGGTTGCTTCAGCCTAGCTGGTGCGGGGTAGGGAAAAGCTAGGTCTGACCGTACAGTCAGTCATGGAGAGGCGTGTGCCCGGTAATGCAACACTTTACATGCTGACAGCGATGCATACCTTGTGTTAGACATCCAAACACACCTGCAGACACCAGCAGCACAAACACACACAGAGCCACCAGCACAGGCATCAGGATAAGCATCATTGTCATAATTTTAAAAATGCATTTCCACTCACAAGCGTTCTTGCAAACCAAAGAAAACAATGCAGATGACATGTGCTCATAACGTGCCTACAGATAATCCCAGAGCAACAGTTTGGAAGCTGTCTAACGAGACTACACTGTATAAGAGAGGCAGCCTTACCGTGAGTATTTCCTTTCTTTGCATGCGAGAACAGCATCTGCAGTCAGAGGAAAGGCATGCATGCACGCCAAACATGTACACACACACACACACATACACACACCTGTCCTGTCCAGCCACTGCCACAAGGGTCACGTCAAGGGTCACATGGGCCCTGGAGGGGTAATGGAGAGAGACTAGGAGAATACATACTTGTTCACAGCCCAAGCCTGGTCAAGTGGGTCCCTCTCGAAACACAAACACAAACACACACACAAACACACACACACACATATACACACACACACACACTGTGACTGTGACACATGCATATGCACAGTGTCACACAGTGTTATGCACAGACTCACCTCAGTAGGCTCCTTCTCAGTGACTCTTGGCACGGTTTTCCTCAGTGGCGACAATCCATGGGCGACAGGTGACGAGGGCATTTGTAGCACTACAGTCAGAATGGAGGCCGCAGAACGATGGAGAAAGGATGAAGACAGAATGATGGCGACACCCATAAACATGGCAATGAGAAAAAAAGAAAATACTCCTACAAGTTCACAGAATAACCATACATGACATACGACATATGACAGCCGCTGCCACCACCACCACCACCACCTCCACCACCAACAACAACAACAACAACTAAAGACTGAGATCACAAATGCGGCCGTGCACAGCAGTTGAATCAGGTAGTGGCAGCGGATTCAGTACACACTAGCTTACCTGATGAGCGAGGCAGCGGTGATTCAATGACTTCGTCACCATCTTCTACTACCGCCTCATCAGCAGATGGAGATGCGGACATGCCTAGTTCACGATCATTCGACTCAGGTAGAGTGGAGCCACCTAGCAATGCAGGGAGATAACCCACAGAACACACTAATCACCTATGCAGATCAAGCAGCCAAAGTCACATTACCATGATGCAGTGGGATGTTGTGCTGCTCAGGATCCTCGCATCATAAACATTTCAATTCGGTAGAGAGCATACAATTCCTATTTCTGGATAGAGCCGCTAACTCTGTATGTATTATAAACTGTTACAGCGTACTGGCATATCTAACAAAAGCCAGCCGAGCACCACACTTCAGTTCTCCTGGCCAGCAAACATGCACAGTAGAAACTGTTGGTTACGTGCAAGGGCATATGCACCATGCGTGCCCACCCGTGTGCATACATACCCTCATACACACCACGCATGTACATACATACATACATACAAACAAACACACACACACACACACACACACAAGTACATACACACACACACACGCACACACACACACACAAACGCGCGCGCACACACACACACACTGTACCACCACTTACTTTCATCATCGTCGGTCTCAGAGGAAGCCGATGACATGCACTCACGCGTTGGCGTGTTATCCGGTAGTGACATTGAAGTGGGTATTGAAAAGGCATGCTCTACATATTTGGCATTGATCCACTTCTTACGCTCTTCTCTACGAACACACACACACGTGACAAAAAAGCACATACAATAGAATTATCAAAAGATCCATCCATCTAGCTAAGTACCCCCACTAGAGTTCTGCCCTGACAATTTAGAGGCAAAAGCATTGCCTTTCATAAATTAATGGGTACCTGCATGGGACACTAAGTAGTACATGATTGTATAGTCAATGCTGTAGTGACCGCAGCGTGTGTACGACGCTCCAGACCAGTAGGGCACGTGTGTTCCAAGTTATGTGCAGCACCTGATGCCATGGTGACTGATGTGTATCTATATTCACTACGTCATATTTATCAGTGACCTGCTCATGGAGTTCTTCTGTACCGACACATGCTGCTGCAGCTAACAGCAGCCACGCTTACTTGGTGGATTGAGATGATATCCGGTGCTTATCCCAATCAGAAGGTACAGAGTAGAGCAGCAGGGAGTTGGCAGTGTCGTTGCCGACCATACGCATAAGCTATACGTGGACAGCATAAACACACACACACACACGCACGCACGCACGCACGCACACACACAACACAACAGTATGCAATCTGCAGTCAGTACATGTGCTGTTTTGATCTTCGTAGTGATGGTACATTATGTAGCCAGTTTTAGACGAGCAAAGTCAAAATCTCGTGAGCTAAGGGGCCGTCCACAATTATCAATCTTTTACACAAACGAAAAAGTTTCGTTTCGTTATGAAACCTATTGATAGCTGAAACATCAATCCAATCTAGCTGTCAAGTCAATATCTTTTTCGTTCAGGGGGTGGGAGGAGGGTCATCACTAAACTTTTTCGTTTTGAGAAAAATTATCGATAATGCAGGATGGTCCCTAACACTAACAGGATATAGAACAATGGCACATGAAAGCAGGGTATAACTTATAACTGCAAACGTTCCAGCCCTACCCCCCAAAAAACCATCATGCAATATTCTCCAAAGTAGGCAATGAGAATCGTACATGAACTGCCAGTACAGCTATAGTGGGACTAGGTAAGACTGGCTACTGCTGCCTCACATTGCTCGTCTCAGGCGAGTATCAGGGACCTGGGTCAAGGAAGACGCCTGATGCCATATCAATCCCCCAGATGTAAGCATGCTCATGAACATCAATAGGAAGACATCATGCGGATGGTGGACTGAATTAGCTGAAAATAGCCGAAACAAGCACGCCAAAATTCTAACATACAGTACCCAAGTTCATTGACAATGCTGTTTTAAATAGGCCTAGTTCTAAAGACTCACTTGGACACTCTCCGGGTCGAGCTCATCCAATGTGAGTGATCGTACTTTGGACACATGCACTCCCAGGCCACTAGAAACATAAACGCAAAAGAGAAAGACAGACAGACAGAGAGAGAGAGAGAGAGAGAGAGAGAGAGAGAGAGAGAGAGAGAGAGAGAGAGAGAGAGAAAAGAGAGAGAGAGAGAGAGAGAGAGAGAGAGTACACGAACAACCACTGGCGCTATTAGGAAGACACAACAGGTCGGCTTACACGTGCATAACATGAAATTATCCGATCACGGTGTGTCTACAGACCTGCAATGCCACTGAAAGACACAAGTCGAGCAAGTAAAACACTAGCTCTTCGAGCAAAACAAAACAGTTGACAGGAACTCCTGCCATGCCGTTGTCGCACCAACATGCTCGTACGTGTGTGCATGCGAGCACCCCCCCCCCCCCCCCCACACACACACGTGCATAGGCATGCACTCACGCCTGCACTCACATACATGCGAAATGCTGTATGAAGCGTTGGCACAATACCCAGGAAGGATGACCTGCTTGGCTAAGAGCAGGACTGACAGGAACACGAGAGAGACAACCACAAGTTTACAACATTGCGGAATCATCAGAATCGGTCCCAACATACCGGTGAATTCCAGAGCAGTCGATGCAGAGGGTGATGGCAAGGTTGATGCTGGCCCACGTCGGGTCTGAAGTCATACCACCAGCCGGCCAAGAAACAGAGAGCAACCATACCACAATATTCAGGATGAGCATAGTCCAAACACATCACACCATGCTAACATTCACTATTCTGCTCGAGTGCTGCAATTCATAGCACTTCCAGGAAGAAAACAAACTACGATGTCAGGTATCACAATAAAAAACTTGTAAAGCCACCCATGTCACATGTCACAGCATCGATTGACAGGCATTTCCACAATGCTGTGGGAACGAGTAGTGTTGAATAGCATTGGATCAGCTACTACTGTCCTCCATGTACATGTACAGTCAGACCTTGCTTTTCCGATCCTCTTTTATCCGGATCCTTCGCCATCCGGAAGAAAATAGCTGGTTACAGATTTACAACATATGTGATTTAAGCGAGGTCTGACTGCACACAAAGGAGAGCAGTGTTATCTGCAAGCATAGAGAGCTGTTTGATTAGCTGTTGGACAGAGCGGCAAACTAACCGCTGGCACCACAATCAGCACATTGATCATTGCCACGTGCACCAAGGACTTCATCACGACTGTATGAACACAGAGACACACACACACATACACATACATACACGCACACACACACACACACACACACACACACACACACACACACACACACACACACACACACACACACACACACACACACACACACACATGTACACACACATGTACACACATATGTACACACATATGTACACACACACACACACACACGCACACACATAGGCGCATGCACACGCATACACACATGCACACACAGATGCACACACGCACGCACACACACACACACAAGAGCACACATGTTTTATTCCGATTCCATCAACATTGCCCAAAAAGTACAACACTCAAAACACAGAACTAAGTTTAACTACATGCTAAAATGGCAAATATCTCTTCCAGTATAAATCGACATACAGAATACACTTTCCATGCTGGTGGCTGTGGAGTGTGCTGGTCCCAACCTGTTCACCAGCACCTGTTCACCAGTACACATTTCCACACTATGAGTTGCACATTGTGCAGCAGCAGCACGATGGGGGGGGGGGGGGGGGGGTCTACTCTACACATCCTAGACTACAGCCAAGAGTGAGCACAGGCATGCATTGTGATGAGTGCAATCTACGTTATTAGCAGACCAGGTGGTGAGCAATGAGCAGTCAGGCCAGCCATGCACAGCATAAGCAAGCAATCGGAAAGGCACCTCACCTCGTCCGCACACTGTTTCTCTCGGTATGAACCTACAGGACACAAACAACAACACACAGACATAGCAATAACAGGTGTGCTGGTAGACCATTCCACGCTGCCACAGAACAAGGGGACACGATTGAATGCAGCCATTTCTGGTGCAGGCAGCCAGCCTTCTCTTAGCTCTCTGTTGGCATTGAATTGCAATAGTACACAGTGGGACCTGTTTGATACTGAGTCCAAGGTACTGAGGTACAATGTACTAGAAAATTACTTCTGTGTGATGCTTGGATTCGATCTAAACTGCTTTCTCGTTGACCCGACTTCATCGTGATGATCGGCTCAGCTGGTCACCCTGAGCTACATCCATGAGACAAGAAGGTGGAAACAGCTAGCTGTCTGGAGATTCAGCAGGATCCAATCAGATTGACCAAGTTATAATATTTCTTGCTAGACCTGTGTGCTGTCAGCCCTCTTTTTCCTTTAGTTGTTGTAGCTAAATGTTTCCTTGTCTTTCTCCCAAGCCATTATTAGGTTCAGGCCTATGGGAAGGTAATGGTTAGTAGACCAGTTTGCACCTTTCTCTTAAAAACTAATGAGTAATTGTTAGTCTATGGGTTTACTTGTAATTATTAACTTTCGCAGCTGCCTTGGCTGGCGTCTACCCATGTTCTTTATTTGCGTGCTGAATGATTCGAATGAACTGAGATGATATTTCTGAAAGGTCCACAATCAATCTCTGTTCACAATGCTTCATTTTGTGTTGGTCAGACAGGACACTATGAATGCGACATATGATGTGCTGAACCTTGCAAAACAACTGCATGAGCTCCATCCGGATGCACGCACGCACTCAGGCACTCGCGCACGCACACACACACACAGCACACACACACACACACGCGCACACACACACACACACCTCAGACACATCCACCCATCCACACATACACACACACATACATCACCAATACATTGCTACTGACCTCCTCTCCGGCGATGTCACTATCCTTTAGCGCACGTGCAACACCAACCTAAAGCAACAGGTTGAGAAGACAAAAAAGAGAATCCAATGTCCTAAGCACTGTCATCACTTTCAACTGTATGCCTCAGCTCGCCATAACGCAGTGTCTATCGACCGGATCAAAACAGTGTGTGTGTGTGTGTGTGTGTGTGTGTGTGTGTGTGTGTGCGCACGTGTGTGTGCATGCGTGCATGTGTGTGTGTGCACACATGACAAAATACGGATCAAGCACATGAGCTGACCTGAATGGCTTCCATCCATGAACCCATCACTGCTTGGCTGTCCGCTTGCAATACACAACTCCTACAGAGAACAGAGCCGGCACATGGAGGACATGAAATGCATCATCCTTGATACTATACTGTAACTGTAGGTAAGGACTGCTGCTGCATTGCTGCACTGTGCTCTGTTGGCAATGACATGCGTGAGGGCTAGAAGCACAACAATGATGCAGAATGATGCAGAGTGAGTCATGTACATGTATACCATTCACATCCTCCACAATAACACCTCAAACAGTCACGGCCTGTGTTGATATTTCGTTTGTGGTAGCTTGTGCGTTGGGCCTCAAGCACTGCAGCAAGTCTGCTTGTTCCCGAATATTCAACGACGTACATGATACACTACAGATTCAGGTGGCTGGCAATATTTCTGCATTTCTCGCATAGGCATACCAGAACGATTGCTGCAACTATGTGTATGCCGGCAAGAAAAGAAGAAGAAAACCGTAAAGGCTGGACGAGGTGTTAGGTACTAGGTGGCCCTTGTGAAAGGCCACAACTCTCCATTTCCTCGTCGCCTTCACTTCCCCAACCGAAGCCAGGTGCCCAATTCCAGATAGGTATCTTGGGGACGGAATCTTTCTCCACTCAAACTAAGCCGGACTCATGACGCCATGTGTGGAACGCCAATGCTCCAAGCGCGTTTCCAACTACGTATCCCCGAGGGCAAATGCAAGAAAATGTAAACAAAAGTTTAAAAAAAACCACCAGCAACTTTCACCAGATACATGTACCGAGAATTTCAGCCAATGGTTGACTTGTATTAATCAGGAGGATGCTACTGTGGACAGCTTTTACTGGCCCCAGTCGCGGCTCACAATTTCACAAGCAAGGCAGCACCTGATGATGAATGATGAGATGAAATGTAATCGAGCTGAACCTCGGGACTGCGGCCACAACACATCTTCTCTACACGGCAAGAACGTCGAACACGAAATGCAATTAGACATAAATGCAATAGCATGTTTGCAGCACGTACAGCCCACCCTCTTGATCAACAGTGTGTGTGTGTGCAAGCATACTTTGTAGGTGTTGTTACTTCAAAGCAGAAGCGTCTCTCTCCTTCCTCCACGGGCTTCACGTTGCAGAGGCGCAGGTCTTCTGCCACGACAGTGACGTCACAGTCAGACTGTACCACACAACGACAACAATGAGCACATACACATGTGCACTAACTCCCACATCAATCAGAGGCAGTAACAACAGGTGAGTGTTGCTGTCTAGACTGACACAAGGCTGCGTAAACCCAGTATACATTCGACGTTGCACAAATATGGCCATCGCTCTGCGCAAATTAACCTTAGAGACTTCATAAAAGGTGGCGAAAAAGTCAAAAATGATGCCCTTGAAATGTTGGTCGCGAGTGCAAAGTTTCTTTGCACTGCACTCGGCAGCAAAATTTCAAGCTTGTCATTATTTTTACTTTTCGCCAGCATTTATGAAATCTCTAAGATTTGTTTTTTGCTGACTGATTGTGTGTTCTACTGAACACAAGATGCCTGAGCAATATTTTGAATTTTCCTTGCAATAAGGTGTACTAAAAAAAAAAAAATTCACGGTTCGCGTGAGACTCGGCTGGAAGCCGGGCTTTTCGCATCCGTAGGTGCACTAAATGGCACGTTTATTCAGGCGACGTCTTCGTTGTCACTGGTGATCAAAAAGGAAGTATAAAATGACGTCATAGCGTTAATTTTTATGTTGCAGGATTGACTGAGCATGTTGACATGCATGCACATTTGAGAGGTAGAAACTTTACAACTTGCATGCTGACCATCTAGTAGAGTGAAACGCATCTAAAGCCAGTGCTCAAGGCCAAGGTCAGTGCTCAAGGCCAAGGCCAGTGCTCAAGGCCAAGGCCAGTGCTCAAGGCCAAGGCCAGTGCTCAAGGCCAAGGCCAGTGCTCAAGGCCAAGGCCAGTGCTCAAGGCCAAGGCCAGTGCTCAAGGCCAAGGCCAGTGCTCAAGGCCAAGGCCAGTGCTCAAGGCCAAGGCCAGTGCTCAAGGCCAATGCCAGTGCTCAAGGCCAAGGCCAGTGCTCAAGGCCAAGGCCAGTGCTCAAGGCCAAGGCCAGTGCTCAAGGCCAAGGCCAGTGCTCAAGGCCAAGGCCAGTGCTCAAGGCCAAGGCCAGTGCTCAAGGCCAAGGCCAGTGCTCAAGGCCAAGGCCAGTGCTCAAGGCCAAGGCCATTGCAGTCAGGCCATTCCAATACAGGCCAATTATTGCTGGGTGAAACAGTGACCATCGGGGCAGTTGGGAAGAAATTCTACAACGCAACCGCAAAAGAGTGCGTAATGCTGCGTATACATACCCCTGTGCGATGCTGATACTGCAGACGACTGTCCTGGATCCAGAAAAAGCGGCGACTCCACTTGCGAAACTTGTTGGTCTTGGACTTCTTGAAAAGATAGCCTTCGATCACGACCGTCCTGTTGAGGCCAGTGTAGAACAAGTTCAAGGAGAACGCTTACACATACATACAATGTAGACTGGTCCAAGGCCAACAAATAACCTACCAAACTCTGGAAGGTATCAGCCGCAATATTATTCCCAAATATCGAATCAATACCTGCAGTGTGGCTTTTACACGACTACAATTGTGCAAACTTGAAAGTAACTTTCCTCCACCACACAGAGCTGTGGCCAAGACCAAGGAAATCACACTTTTACACGACTACAATTTTGCAAACTTGAAAGTAACTTTCCTCCACCACACAGAGCTGTGGCCAAGGCCAAGGAACTCAAGCAACTGACACCAGGCAATTCTAATCAGAGTAACCGCTCCAAGTTAGTGACCATGTCTTTGGCCTGTAAAGGAATTGCATTATTTTTCTATTCACGTATATTAAAGATAAATGCCAAGGCTGAGTTTTATAGGGACTAAAACCTGCATTAAAACCGAGGTGTAGCGGAGTTTTTTTTTAAGCTTTTTACAACTTGTTTTTATTGCCTATGAAAACGAAGCCGAGGGATTTATCCTACAGTAAATCCACCTTTCATACAAACGTCCACTCAAACACTCATTGCTTCTTGCTACGATAAGTCACCCCCGCTAAAAGCTACAGATAGTAAGGTAATCAATCTTCTCGTTCAATCATTTTCTCTCAACGTACTGGTCTGCTTTACATCGTAATTTTCGAAGGGTTCAAATCATCTGGTGTGTTCTAGTCTTGCTCTGCTTTGATGCCGTCTTGAATTGCTGATCAGATCAGGATCATGTGATCAGACCAGGTCTTGCTAATCCATTTTTTTATGTTCCTTTCATGCGCAACTTTACAACTTTGGCCAAATATTTGTGATCAATGAACATTCGGGGTATATAAGCTGCACTCCGGGTGGAGCTTTGGTCTAGTTTCAGGAACACGCGTGTAGCCTATACCCGGTAAAATCTGGCACACGGCTATCACTTAGATTTTAGAAATAGAGAACTAAGTTGCGAGTAGTGCAGGGTAGTGCAGGGTAGTACAGGTAGTGCAGGGTAGTGCAGGGTAGTGCAGGGCAGTGCAGGGTAGAGCAGGGTAGTGCAGGGTAGTGCAGGGTAGTGCAGGGTAGGTCAATAGCAAACATTGTAGTTAGGACTAGAGAGGTCTTTCACACCTACCCAGGAGCAAAAGACATGCTCTGGCGGTGCGACCGCTTGATCATCTCCGATCGGCTGCTTTGCTGCTGAGCAACAATGGAGTGTCGGTCTTCCATGGTGGTTCTCTCTTCCTCAGCGGCTTCAGTCAATGCTCCAATCTGCAGGCAGAATATCAGGTAGTCAGCACTGGGGAATGAATTTTAATTTTTTTAAAGTGCTGAATAACTAATAGCTTCAGTGTTTTGCGGTTAAGCAATGGTTTCGTGGACTGGGGAGGGGGGCACTGGCATCCTAGTTCCAACAATCCATAAGAAACATGCCAAGTACAACCTGGTACACACAGCATATTCAAACTTACATGGGAACAGCTGCAAGCAGAACAGAACAGGCAAGAGCGTGTCCTTTAATCATGTCCAGTGAGAAGCGAGCTAAGGGGAACACGGGTAGTATGTAGACATGTGCTGACGTGGACAATGTGCTTGGCTGGTCTAGTGACTTACCCGATTGTCCAGGTCACGAATGGACGGGTCCATGTCTTTGAGTTGGTCATAGCCTTGGTGGAAGAGGGTGAAGTTGGCACGAGAGAATGACAGGATCTGCGACACAGACACAGACACACAACACAGACACACACACACACACACACACACACACACACACACACAAACAAACCTGGGCTGTGTTCTCAGGCTGCATACATGTAGTCTCACTGGTGTAGAAATGCCGGTAGAGTCAGGACTGACGGAAGCAGTTTGTGATTCACCCGGCCTTACAAAAATAGTCTTTCGTACTTTTCATATATGGCGGGTGCACATGACCTCTTCAGCAGTATACACGCTTGGTGGCCAAAAGGTTGATCTCGCCATGGCCTAACCATCCCGGACCGGTTCCACCGGGCCTGGGAGCGTAACCCAGATGTTCAATATGCCCAACATGGATTCTGTTCAACATGCGTGTCTAAGTACAAAACAGTTAACAGTTCACACTGAAGTGGATGCAAAACACAGTTCAGCTATGGGTCCAAACAAATTGTACACCTTATTGTACATGTATATCACACCGATGTTCAGAAGATCCCGAAGTCTGAACCCACGACTATGTGTCACATGCATGATTGTGCTGTACTGCTACGCATCTGCTTCTAGTATGCTTGCATTCATGGTTGCATTGACTGTAGGCCTGAGCGGTCACGTGCTCCTGTCCCGCGGGTTGGCCCAGATAGATCCTGCTGGCAATTCTTTCGGCAAAATATTGACGAATTTGAAAAGCGGAAATTGCCGGCAAAATCGGAGCAAAATGTCGAGAATTTGGGTAAAATCGATGCCTGATACTTGGATTTCCTTGTTTCTTACCCGTTCAGCATGATACACTGCCAATGACGAGATCATGTCACCGAAATATCACTGGGATTCACTGTGGATCAACATGATTTGAAAAACCCAGGGACACGTGTGTAAAAAAACGTGTTGAGAAACTGACCATGCGATTTTTATGAAACGTTGTACAGGAAGTGGATAAAATACACGTTTTTCCGGAGCAAAATGGAGCAAAATATCGAGTTTCTAGTGCCAGGCTTGGCAAAATATTGAAGATTTCGCAGCAACATTTTGTGGCAACATATCGAGGCGAGTGGAGCGAGTTCCCGGATGCACCGGAGTTTGCGACGCGCTGTGCTGCCTTTGTTTAGTTCCTGGTTGTTGGACTTTTACACTAGTTAGTGCAAACAGTTGCTTTCGGAGTTCATGTAGAAAGTTCACGGTTGTTGTTCCTTCGAATCGTTTTCTGTTGTGCACGAATGTGGAATGCGTCACTGTGTGAGTGTGCGTTCCCTTTAGTGAGCTTTTCTTAGCAACAGAAAATGGGTAGCAGAGGATGGTTACTATGAGTAATTAGAATTAGCTCAGCAGATCGATTGTGATAGTGTTCGCGATGCAATTTGTAGCAGTGCGTCTCGAACCTGGAGGAGGGTGCGGATTATGGCATCATCAGAACCCACGACCTTGGAGTATGCTGCAGAGTCGAGTGCTGGAGACTCGGAGAACGACTATGAAAAAAGGCCAAATTCGGGCCGTGGTCGCTTCTCAACTCCAGACCGAGAGGAAGCAGCTAGGGGTCGTGGAGCAGGCCTAAATTCAGCGCAAGTGGAGAGCGAACTGAGGGTGAGAAAGGCCACCATCAAAGGGCAGTTTAAGAGAGCAAGACGAGGCTTGCTAGTGCAGCTAAATGCCAATGGTCCGTGCGACATCGAAGGAATCTCGCAAAATCTGGAAGGCCTGACGGCACTGTACAATGGAGCTACTAGTTTGTTGGCAGACATCATCGGCGGCTGCCAAGACATTCGCCAGCGAAATAAACTGGCAAACGAGTTGGAAGTATTGGAAACTCAATTTTCGGCGGCCATGGACCGAGCACAGGCCAAGATCAATGTCAGCAAACTGAGCGAAGCCCATCCACGATCACAGTCACTGTCACAAGGCCGAAGGGACACCATTTCGGCTTCTCATGAGGACACACTGTCTGGGAGTCACCAGAACGAGCGTGGGAACCCCACAGAGTCTGTCTACAGCAAGACCATTGTTCCTGTAAGTACTCAGGTTGGTAGAACACTTGGCTTGTATACAGGTAGTGCTAGTGCAATGTCATACACCAGTATCAGTGATCTGTCAAGTGTGAGCGCCAGCCCTAGCCTAGGCCCTGTTCAGTCAGTACACGACACTGACTGTACTGCCTACCTCAGCATCAGAGCATGTGACAACCATGAATCACATCATAGGTAGCAGCAGCCTCACTACAAGTACAGCCACTAGCATCACTAGACCCCTTGCATCACTGAGTGCACCCAGGAGTGGTGCCAGACAGCCATCCACCAGCCATGCTGTGGCCAGCAGCCAGCCTGCATTTAGTAGCGGCTGACTGAATGCAGGGGCAAGTGCACATGTGCCATCTGCATGGCCTGCTGCCAGTAAACACGGTACATGTACAGCCTGGTCAGGTGGCGCAACCAGTCCTTGGACGCATATGTAACGTGTTGAGATCCCGACGTTTGCAGGAGATAAACGCAGTTTCGAGGCCTGGTGGGCTGCGCTCTCAGCGTGTGTGGACAAATTGTCAGTGTCACCAGAGTGCAAGATGCTCAGGCTGCGGCAGTATCTGAGTGGCGAGCCACTGCGAACTATCAAGAGTATTGGGTACACTGCCGCGTCCTATGAAGCTGCCAAGGACATGCTCACCCGAAAGTATGGCGGCGAGCGTTGTCGTCTGGCAATCCAGCTCGATGAGATAATGAGACCAATCCGAGAAGGCAAGCCACAGGAGCTGCAGCAGTTCGCTGAATTGCTGATGGTAGCAACTGTCCATCTCAAGGAGGCAGGACGACATGCAGAGCTGTTGGTCGGCACACTCTATCACTCCGTGATGAAGAAGCCGGATGAAAGGATCACCGCGCGCTATCATCGCTGGCGATATGACCATCATAGATCAGAGAGTGTCGAGTGCTCGTTAGAATTTGTTACCCTGGAAGCCGAGCTCCTGGTGACTGCGGTGGAGACGGTGCACTACAACTGCTGTCGTTATTATATTTTAGTATCCGGTGTGAGGCACCGTATTAAATGGCTACTCTAATTTCAGAAATTTTCGGTGCTCAATATTTTCGGTATGAGGACAAAAGGCCAGGTTAGGTGAACAGAAATTTTAGGTACAGAGAAGCAGTTCCCTATTGGTTTATGTGTGTTAGTGCTTGTTCGGTGTATTGAAATTTTAGGTATGAAACAGATGCACCGACAGTACCGAAAATAAAAGTACACCGAAAATTTGTGAAATTACAGTATCTTCAAAGTATCTTGTAGCGTTTCACTATGTTTCATCATTATTGCGAGTACATCTATTAGTGGCTGTTTAATCTATGTTTAATCAGGGTAGGGGAGAGCGTTCAGAAGATCCCGAAATCTGAACCAACAACTATGTGTCACATGCATGATTGTGCTGTACTGCTACGCATCTGCTTCTAGTATGCTTGCATTCATGGTTGCATTGACTGTAGGCCTGAGCGATCACGTGCTCCTGTCCTGCGAGTTCCGGGATGCACCGGAGCTTGCGCCACGCTGTGCTGCTTTTGTTTAGAGTTCCTGGTTGTTGGACTTTAGACTAGTTGGTGTGAACAGTTGCTTCCGGAGTTCATGCAGAAAATTCAAGGTTGTTGTTCCTTCGAATCATTTTCCGTTGTGCACGAATGTGGAATGTGTCACTGTGTGAGTGTGCGTTCCCTTTAGTGAGCTTTTCTTAGTAACACCGATATTTATTTTAGTCTCGGAGACCCCCTTGATTTAGGCTTCAGCCTTTGGGGAATCCCTCAAATAATAATTATAATTATAATCGTAAAACTCTTTCTTTACCCAACACATTACGAAGCACTTGCACACTCACCTTCTCAAGTATTCGTAATCGCTTGTTCGACTGGAACACGTTCAGCTGGACATAAGCAGAGCATGCAGGCAACGGCATGATAGAAACACGATGAGCATGCTAACATGTATGCACTGGTACTGGAAGATTACAAGTAAGGCGCCCACTCCCGCATGCAGGAAATGTATGTACATGTACTGGGAGATAAGCCCGTTCAATGTACACGATGTGCATCCTGTTTATACAGGATAACACGATTCCGCGGACGCACACTTTTCAACTACATGTATACCGCATATTCTCTATTATAAGCACAGGTCTCCATTACTAGCACAGTCTCTAATACAAGCACACTGTGAGCACCTTTCGAAACATTATAAGCACAGTCTCTATTATTAGCACGGTCTTGGTGGAAATCAATGCTGCATGTATGATATCTAGCATGTATTTCTTCTTGCTCTGTATGGATGTATTGGTTGAAAAAATATAAGCGCAGTCTCCAATATAAGCGCGGTCTCCAATATAAGCGCGGGGTAGAGGGGTGTTGAAAAAATATAAGCACGGCGCTTATAATAGAGAATATACGGTATTCAATTATTGGCTTTCAAACTATCAGTTCCAAGGTCATCCCACACAACAACAAAGTCGGAAAAGGGTGTATACCAAAATCGATTTCCTCGTCACGCTCATCCCTTTATGGACTGGTAAACCAAGGCGGAAGCGGAATCAGTCAACGTCCAAGAGAAGACTTAACACAAGGTCCCTCAAGCTCAGGTGAAGCTATTGCAACAACGTTCCAACGCAGCTATTACTCTACTGAGTAATTGATTGCTGGGTGCCACACCTTGAAAGCATATTCCAGTGCCGTGTCCTTGAAAGCCTGCTGTATGGAGTCCACGAGGCCTTCAGCCTGTGCATGGAGAACACAGACAGCAAGCAAAATGCATAGTCGCCAAGAGAGTAGTCGCTGAGAGATTTTATTTCCTTCTATTCCCAGTGTTGCATCTTTAAATGATCCCGGGGACAGAGACCAGCATGACCAGCAGGCACAATATACGTACTTGCCCAGCTCAGCTGGCTTGAAAAGCTCAATCAAGTCCCCTAGCTCCCCCACGCTTCTCGTACGTGTCAGTTCCCCTTTCATTTCTCCTCTCTATTGTCGTCCTGGCTGTCTATCGCCCACATCACCTTTTCATTGGCTAGTGCCACGTGATTGTGAATAAATAAATAAACTCAACATCTGTGTCCTAGAAAGTTTTTTTGCAACAGAAAACACGCAGCACAAATCAAGGTGAAGGGCTAAGTGGGTCACCACTGAAACCTTGAATAGGGGTAGAACACTATACTCAGGAGCAGGGAATAGTAAAATACCTACTACTCCCTGCTCAGGATACATCTGTGCCTCCAGTAGTTGTTACGAGTGGCAGGAGTGAGATGTTGTGAAGGCATACGGCACTACTAGACAAAACTCATACCGTCTTTCTTTCCTCAGAACTTACATCTGATGCCTCTTGCTGCTTGGTCTTGGGAATAGAGGAATTCCGTGATATTGCACTGCAAGACACAGAGCAAAATGTCATAGGTATATTCGGAGTTAGGTTCAATAAATTCTCATAATACATCAGTTTCTGGGCAACAGAGTCAGTATGCACTTAGCTCACTACATGGAATGCCCTTCCTCTTCATTACGTTCTACAATGCAAGTAACAAATCCTCACCCCCACCCCTCACACACAAAATTGCACAAGCACGCACGCATGCTCGCACGCACACACACGCACGTACACACATGTGAACACAAAAAAAACATTCATACACATACGCACATAGACCAGTTTCCTGTGCCTCATAGGGTGGTCACTAAATAGCAAAAAAACATAGCTTGCAGGTTTGCAGCATCAACACAGTCAGGAAACAAGTTACATGGTACAGAAATGTTGGATCGCAGCATAGACCATTGAGCTAGCGAGTGTGGGAGTCACACTGATTATTCCAGTTGGGATAGAAGCATGAACATAGTGACTGGCTTTGTTTCACACAATACACTGTAACACTAATTTACAGTGATCATTGCTCATACTTGTCCAGGTCAGACGACACATGATCAAAGAGCTTCTTCGCATCGCGGAGCGGCTTGACATCTCTACATACACGCGGGTATAGAAAAAGAAAGATACACAAACGAGCCTTATGCGCACAGGCATGCACAGAAACAAGACAGCAAACACATACCAACTGTGTATATCTACATATCCATATCATACAATAGATTTATACGTGATGTTGATGCAACATCCTACAGCAGATCCTCAATATACAATGACAATATTGAACGGAATCACTATGTTGATTCTTCTCACTAAACACTGCATTCTCTCTGCCTACTACAAAGGCTGGCTACACACACACTCTGACCGATGTCTTACTTCTTCAGGAAGTCTTTGAACGGTTCTGCCACAGACCGGTCCGCAGAGTCAAATATCATCTGCACAACGAACACAGCACATATATACCACAATTTCAACATGAGATTAATGTGACATGATGATTTGATAGTCACACCCCCGTGCCCCCCCCCCCCCCCCACACACACACACACATACCCCCCCCCCCCCCCCACACACACACACACACATACACACACACTCAGACTCGGACATGCGCATGGCTGAAGCGATGATAGCGAACAGCTAAACATAGCAACTCACACACACACACACACACACACACACACACACACACACACACACACACACACACACACACACACACACACCATGTACCATGTACCATGTATACGCCCGTCGCAAGAGAAGCACGCAAATCTGCAAATGCATTGGATGTGCCCCCCCCCCCCCCCCCCCACCACCCACACTCGCACACGCACACACATCACAAGTAAGCACAGTGCCACACACACAACATTGAACAATGGTAGTCACAGTACCTGATAGTATGACTGAACATCCCCCATGACATTCTGCACTCTGCCGATGAGTTGCTGAAGAAGATTCAAACATGCACACACACAACAATACTTCTCATACAGTGTCCGTATGTCTCGGACACTCACTCCTGTGCTTTTCGAGATCAGAAAGGAAACCATACAATATGCATGCACAAACCATGGTACTTAAACAAGAAAAGATGGCAAAAAGATTGCAGGCCCTAGTCCAGAGTACATTGTACATGAAAGCATCTGAAATACTAATTATCCATTGATAAACTGTAACAATCAAAGGAATAACGAAGGAAACCCTGAGACAGTGCAGCCGTGACATCTACCTCTAAAGACAGCACATACTGAAGATTGCGTATTTCAAAAAGTATTCCACTTGGCACCCCAAGTGAGATTACACATCATTCCGAAAGGGATGCCAGCAAGGGCATGGATACGAGCATCGTCAATTGATCATAAGTGAACACAAATCCTGACCAAAGGCCCAACTGTAGGTTTGGACTAAAGTTTTCTGCTTTAGGCGCTACATCTGCGCCTTGATCCTTGAGGGTGGTGGTGTTCCTATGGATGCGGAAAACTCAGTCTACAGTCCATTCATAAAAAAATGGGTCCTGGCTCTGGCGAGCTCCCGTATTTGGCGATTTTTCGTGATTTCATCGTACACAGGCAGTGCTGCGAACTTTGAA